TAGTATTTTGTATTGCCGCTTTTCAATCTAGAATATTTGGGTTGCCATCATTGACACCTACCAGGAAAAAAATTAATTCCTCGTTGTTCGAACTGGCGAGGAACACCACTTTCGATATGTATCTATTGACGCGTGTGCCGACTCGTGTTTTCGTCGGAAATCCACAAGTGAGTTGTGAAATCCAATTGTTTGATTAAGCGACGCACAAGTGACCTGTCGCGTCACCTGTTACCAAATTTTTGAATTGTAAATTGCTATTTTAATAGTTGGATATTTGAATATATGCCCAGCCCTACTCAGTAACCAATAATCATTGATTCGATTAATGTTATGGGAATAACTTGCTTTTTATGTTTCATGTAAATTCTAACGTAAATCGTAACTTGGCGGATACCTAAATTTCGCAAAAACGTTTGCGGCCCGCAGTGAATTTCTGGCTCGTTGCGGACTCATTTGAGACCGCGGACTCGGGTTGGGAAACACTGGCTTATGCTATAGAAAATGTAGGTGCTTATTGTGACATCACTGTTTGGTTTTAGCTTATTTTACTTGATACCACCACATGACCAAACTCAAAATTGAACTGGGGTCACACTAGACACTTGAAAGTTGTCTTTGGGGTCGTCCTGAAAAAAACTTGGGAACCCTTGCTAAACTCTCCAATGCCGACCTCACGTACTCATCTCTTACATAATACTTAGATAGCATTTTTTATAATGTAGCTTTTAACGTTCGGTCCATGTTCAGGCAGTACTTGGAGTTAGATATAATTCTTCACCACTTAACGAGGTTAACAAGGGATAAATGATATGCAATGGAAAAACTAGCCGGCATTTCTCCCATTCTGACATTTTTGTTGTATGTGTGATGGAACGGCAAGTAACTAACTTCTGTTTACACTATTTGATTTAAATCAATTTAAATATACCATTATACATTTACCACCAAGCCGGGTTCGTTTGCGAAGTACATAAAGCATATCCGACCTCGAGAGTTTAATTTTCTATTTTACCGGTTTCGACTACAGTTTGACTAAAGCAAATATTTTATAAAAAGATGACGTACCCCTAGTCAAACATATTCACTGCTAATATAGCAACGATTGATGGGGCGGCTTATGACCATAGGTTGTAACTACTAAATAAATACTAACTAAATACTCGTTAACAATATTGGCCATAATTTTTCCTACATCTGAACTACATAATTCGTTAAATACTTATTTTAAAATGCTACCCTAAATAATTGTAGCAAATTTTAAGAATCAATAAAAATTTCATTGTCAATCTTAAAACTATCACACGCAAAGTTTGAATGTGTTGCGATTTTTTTTTATCTTGCATCTCCAAGTTTTCTTCAAAACTAAATGCACGTATTGGTTCAGATGCACGTACAGGAATCAGAATTGTTACGAAGAGGGCAAATTTAACATTGAAATATTGCTGCTTTGCGAGACAATTCCAGACAACACTACATGGGAAAGCTTACCATTCGTTATTATATGTATATTGTGCTATGCATTGTATTATGTAACAATGCTATAGCAAATACGTAAATCTTTATTGTTCGGGTATATAAGTCTTCTTAAACAGTCAATGCAATATTAAAAGTTCACCCAGCTCTACTCAGACCGTATTTGATGAGTTGATATATGATAAACATATCTCCTTTACGAATCTGAAACTATCTTTAACTTTTATATATATTTGATATTGAAAGAATGACACAATTTCCAGTTTTGTACAATTACGAAATTAGCCATGCGTCATTGTTTATCCTTGTTTGCGCAGGTTTACTCAGTTTAATCGCTATACATTTCAGTAAAACTCCTTTATTTTTGTACACAGTGTAATGTAAGTTGACACAATATATTATCTTTAACATCTAAATATATTTAATATTAATTAAATGTGTTTTATAGTGATATGAGAGCGTTATACTAAACTAAATATTAGTTATGGTCAAGTTTATTTTTTCCACCCAGTAAAAATAGCATGCAAAATTGAAAGAATAGAAATAAACACACATTTCACTGGGAAAGGAAAGCCGAAGGAACCAAAGCTGTCAAGCAGCGACACCCAAGGTTCGAATTGAACATTTGCGAGGTCTAAAATATTGAATTTCGGAGTAATGGTATCATTGATGGGCGAGGATTTGACTGTTAACTAACCAACCGTGCGCCACAAATTACAAAAAATTAACATTCGGCCTGCTAGGTGGCTAATGGGGTATTCCGTGAATAAGCAAGAATGCTAAAAACTAGGTAAAATGAATGAAAGAGAAGTAAAGTTGCTCGGCGAAAAAAAACTTCATAAACAAATAGTACAAACATGTCAATTCAATTACTACTCAGCCGGGTTCAATAACCATTTTTTATTATTTTTTCCATCCAAGACCAATTTTCCCAGCTTGTCTGTTTTTGCGAGTTGAATCAATCTGCATGTTTTTGTTCAAATAATAGTCTTTTGCGTGTTCGTGTTATGTCCTAACGAAAATTCTGACCAAATTGTTATTTCAGAGTAACGGCTAAAAATTCTGTTATTCAAAACCTGCCATTCAATCTGAATGTGCTATAATCAGGGTGTGCAACCTGCTGCCCACAAGGACAAATTGTTAATTGACACAAGAAGAAGTGCCCATTTTAAAAGGTGTACGGCCTGCGAAACGAGTTTTTAATTTAGTTTAATCTGGTACGTGCTAGTAAGTCCAATCCTTTTGCCTTGCAAAGCCTGTATATATGTGAGTCCAATTTATTGTCTATGACTATGACCTCACAATGCCCTAACACCGAGCTTGTGCAAAGTGCAAAGCGAACAATTCATGTCATAAGACCAATAACTAGAATTTGTGTGCAACGCGGTTTCACCAAGGTATTTGTATCTGGCCCTCCGGTATTAAAGAATACACACCCCTGCTTTACATAATGTAAGAACTAAATTTGCTCAATTTGCAATGTCAAACTTTTAACAGAATTTTTCATCATATATATGGCTCCATCCACAATGAAAATTTCTATCTCCATACAATTTAGTAAGTATAGTTGCATTTTAGACGCAGAAAGACAAAGGATTTAATAATGACTATAGAAGGTCCCCTCAGGGCAATACTGTAAAAAACAGCTTTTGAATGAACAAATTTTTATTACAGGTTCCTATATTTTCTATCGTGACTTGCGGACTAGTATGTGTACTATTTGCTTTTGCATTTGAAGTTGATGCACTTGTAGAATTCGTCTCAATTGGACAACTAATTGCGTGCACTTTCGTCGCAATTTGCGTCATAAAACTTAGATATCAACCAAATTCCATTACGAGGTAACATGTTCCTGATAATGATGAATCGGTTAAAAATGAATGTATTTGTTTAATTGCAAGGCTTTTATGATTCTACCTGACTGAAATAAACATATTTAGCAAATAGTATGTTCAATATATTATTAATAATGGGTAAAAGTACACTATCGCAAATTAGTATAAGTGCAGACGCTGTTTACAATATTTTATTTTTGTTGTTGTTCTTCAGATTCATGGATACATATACCATTAATGAAAACCAATCTGATGCATCCGAAAAATTTCCGCTGATGTCGCATGTGGTAAAAACTCCTGAGAAAGATGAGACAAAAACCCTAGATTATCTTCTAAGTCCGAAGTAACCCTCTTCGAGGAGACTGGGCCAAATGTTGATCAAAGAGTTGGTAGTGTGAAAGCCGAAATTTTATCTAGCAAATTTGGTTTTCTTTTTCAACCTCTAGTGAAATTTGAAGCCGGAGAAGTTCCAAATTATCTTCTAATATTGGCAACTTTTGCTATTACCGTTACATCTGCACTCGGCATATTCACTCAAGATTACATCTCTTCATGGTGGAACATTGCTCTGATTTTCATATTTTCATCCATCGCGACAGTATCAATTCTGCTATTGCTCGTATTCAAGCAAGACGAAAGCATCAAAACTTTTAAGGTATTTTATTTCTATTGGAAAAAATTCTTTCGACTACAGAATGACGACATCACAATATGTGCTCAAATTAAAAAAAAATTATGCGATGTCAATACAATATCTCCCAAATATGATTCAGTCATTTATTATCATCAGTTTATATTATTTTAATTTACACAGGTTCCTGGAGTTCCGTTTGTCCCATTTCTCAGTGCAATCATAAATATTATTCTTATTTTAAAACTTCAGCCAATGACTTGGTTAAGACTTGGAATTTGGTGCATATTGGGTAAGTTTCAGTGGAGTGGGTAACTAAGGAATATCAAACACGTTAAATATCTTTAGTAACCGATATTTATGTAATTATTATCTTCCAAACAATAGCTTGTAACTTCTAGCATCGAGGTTTCTACTGTAAGCTGAAAGCTCTCGATTCGCGATTTTGTTGTAATCTTACAGTATACTGCAAAGAATACCACAGCTTAGGTTTTGTCATCTGCCTAGGGCGGTCATTGCATGTTTATTTCAAGGTAACGATTGAACTTCATTTTGTATATGGTTAATCTACGGCTGCTGTAAGGCAAACAACCAAGCCATTTCCAAGTCATAACTTGAATAAAGAAGCCTCTTTGCATTTAAGTCATTTAACGGGAATTCAATTAATATGTAATTTTTCAAGTCTACTTTCAGTTGCTTTACTCAATACTTTCACTTCTATTCTGGGTTTGGCAATATATTTTGGTTACGGATATAATCACAGTGCAGAAAGAAAGCGAAGATGATAATATGTGTTTTGCATGGATGAATCGTTTTGTTTACAATTCATCAGAGAAACATTTAGATTACTTTTGTATTTTTATACCTATATTATTTATGTTGTGATATCAGATAAATAAGACTATATATACTATATAGTATACATTTTCCTTGTGATATTTGCTTGAATTTGTATATGACTTTGTGCCTGCGATGCTGAAAATTACCACCAAAGACACGCGAGAAAAATCACACTTGTACATCTATTAATATGTGTTTATTTCGCATATTTTTCAAAAACAATAAAGTTTTTGATGTTGCACTTGGTGAAAGTGAAGGAATTCCAAACTACAAGTCGCTGTAGTATAAACCTCGCACAAATGAAATTGCTTGAACATGAAGCGAAATTTTACATATTGTTGGTAAACTAAGAGTTCCGTGGTGAGGCTATTAGGTTGATATTGTACTAAATTCTTGTTGGTATTATATTTGGGAAAACTGGACTATCACCGCAAAGAACGGAAAATTTGATTTCAAATTTTACTACTTAATGATTACAAGTGCGTTTCTCCTCGCATACATATGCAATTTACGTCACTGTCCCTGCCTACCAATCTAATAAAAGACATTCACGACAGGATCGATCTTCCACCAAATATATATCTTAAAATGTAAATTCTCATAACGGACAAAAGTTTATATATTGCATCATATTCATATGATTATTTTCTGTTATCGCTTGTATCTAACCTGAATTGTTATGGAATACAGTATTTTGTTTCATAAAAGAATTCCTCTCGCCATTAGATAACTTTTCAGACCAATGAAAACTCTAAGACCAGCAGAATCATTTCAATTATAGCTTAGATTTGTAATATCAGAAGATGAAACTCATATACTTCATATAAATGATAAAATATCAAAGCATGTATGTAAATTTGATGTCCGTATGGCCAAGCTTTTCTTCTATTATTTTGTCCATTAATTCAGACTGTGCAACGGTAAACGTCTCTTTCCATCCTCCAACCTGCCCTAAAATACATTTTATGTTTGCTATGTGACACAGGGTCTGGCATTTTAATATTATTATCATTACAAAACAGAAGACGTCTCACGAGAGTAGTAATTCAAAAAACATTTGTGTGCTGATAATTTTTCTTACGAAAAAGTTGCAAGGGAAAGTACGAAACTTCGCACGTGGTTTGAAGATTTGTCAATGATGAATAAATTGAAAAGGGCTGTTTTGCAGTAAAGCATGTTTGAAAAAAACACAGTTACTGTAGAAGATAATAGTATATGTAAATAGTATTAACAAATTCTATGTGAAACTTCGGTTCTCTTTTACTTCTAATTAGTGTAAGCATGATATCTCAACTGAGATAAAGCATTATTACGAAACCTTCCCTGTAAATATCCTGTTAATTAAATTAATGATTAATTTGTTTTTACCTTTTCTCATCATTGTCATGATATTCTGTACTTTCGCAAATTCACTTACGCCCAATTCTCCATCTTTTTTCATGGCGCCAAACGATGTAGATTCAGCAATCGCTGCTACTCTTTTATCTGTTATGTCAACTTCCAAAAATGTAGCTAATCTTTGAATTTCCCTCTTAATATCCTTGTTAAGTAATATATAATATAATATTTATTAGGAAATAATATCAATAATTGACATAACTATATGGAAAGCGATTGCTTTAATTAAACTAATAACGATGTTGACAGCAATTGTTTTAGAGGCTATACACTCTTTAACGTATAAAAATGTTCCCGTAAATTAAAATGAAACAGCAAAGTTGCGGAGAAAGCGATTGCCCACAACATTAACAACAAATTAGCCAAACGATCCATCGTTATACTTTGTGTCTAATAAATTAAAAGCGCAAATTAAAAGATGGGTCTGTGTTGAAATTTATGATATTGACAATTAAAACAACACTTATTCTTGGTAGTCGCCCTGTGCTTGTATCTGATATAAGCTGCTAACCGAGTGAGAAGTTGCCTACATATTACTAACCTTTTTCATATTTTCAAATATTAGAAACATGACGTTACTACCACCTTTGTGTTTATTCCACCCCAGCAAAAATTCAGGATACCATTCACCCGGTTTTGTTATAAGAGGGTGCTTGCCTGAAAGAAAAATAAGTCACGAAAAGCATACAATTAGAGATCAAAACAAGAATACTATCGCGTTTCATGTTTTGGCTCTCTATAGTTCAGGGTAACTCAACGAGCGGTCCGAATATTAAATTTGAGCTGCATATGCTTCTTGATTTTGAAAACAAGCCATGTAGTCCACTTCATATCCGTTATTACCTGCTACCTGTATTTTATAGTTGTGTTACGATTTTAGCTACATTATACCTTGCACGTAATCTGAGAAAAATTGATTCCAATCGCTGCTTAACACGTCACGCACCGAATCAAAATGATGATTTTTCGAAAAGTGATACCAAGAAACCGCTTGATCTTTTGGATTTCTCACAAGAACAACAACCTTTAGACATAGAAAAGAAAGTAAATTTGTTAAGACAAAAACAATATATATATTTCTACTTCTTATATAGTATAAATTTCAGCCTCATTTTTAATGTGAGTTTTACGCATGAAGCATAATAAAAAATGTGCTGTTGAACCAGAAATTGCTTCAGTGAGATACCATATTTTAAGCCAATATGAAGGCCATTGCGTAGTAATAAAATAGCTCTACTAATCGAATATCGTAATAGATTTTTGTGGCCGATTTTATACACGAGATCTTTGTTCAAAGTATATATATAATCAACCTAAGGTAGATTATGTCAATGAATAACTAACGAAGAACATTCATTAAACTATGAAATGGAAAGCATTTGAAAAAAATTATAGAGAAATGGCAAGGCAACAAAACTTGTGATATGGCTAATCTTAGTCGCCACATCAGTGATAACTCCTGATTTCGGTCTGAGAGGTGCGTTGTTTGTCTTGTATTCAAAATTGTAGATTTAATACCTTTCCGTTTTTCTTTTTTAACTTGTCGATGTTTATCAATTCAGCCGGAAGATGAGTTACAAATAGCTTACGTGGTAAAGGTAGGTGCTCCATCAGATCAAGCTTTTCAGCTGCATAAAAATATATTCAATCATTATGCTATTAGTTCTGTGTAAAATCAATCAAGAGATATATTAAAATTTAAGTTACTCACCCTTCCAAATTTCTAACACTGACAACGCTGGAGGTATCGACTTAGAAATAGCATCGAGCTTTTCATCTTGTCCGTAAAATATTTGGCGAATAATTTCGGCCGTCCAATTAGTTCCTAGAATGACAATTTTAATATAGAATAAAATTGTTGAAAATTTAATATTAATAGTTTAAAATTTAAACTAAAATTTTTAAATAGCTCAACATGGTTCAAGCAACATGCGACGATATTGAACTTTTTAAAACTAAGCAGTGTTATTTACTGAAGCACGTGTTTGTTTCAAAGATCACATTCTGTTAAATTGAATACACCAATACCTGCTCAGAACGAAGGCCTAATTTCGAAATATTTACCACACAATTTTGTGTGTGTATGTAGTATGAAAATATATGGCGCTTCCAACAACTTAAATCTTTTGCGCAAGACAATTTGAACCAAACTTTTTATATGCCTATAGTACACTCTTGGTGTACTGGGGTTCTTTGTATGAAAAGAACCAGATAAAATGATATGGATCTTTCACTGGTCTGGGATGACAGACAAAACACAATAAAATTCTATCCTTGCCTTCAACCAATTGAGTACATCTTTACAAATTATTTGAAACTTTCGAAACAAAGATATAGTAACATATCTATACTAACAGATGCATAAGAATTATAGAGTTACGAAAAAATATCCCCGTCTTCATTAGGAACATTATCAGACGTTTGATACTCAATACATTAAAATCCACCCAAAGCGTAGATGTAAAAAGCTATTAATATTTATTTTTATGGAAAATGTTGTCACCAGACCCAATTTGCATTTTTAGTAGTTTCGGTTAGATTGCGTTTAGGTTTTGGTTATCATGGCGAATTTCAGTTTGTTCAGACATTCTGCCATGCTTTTGTGCTTTGTAGTATTAAACTTTAATAAATTTTAAAAGTTTCAACTATTTATAATCAATATATTCATACTGTAAAACTGTACATGAGCGCGGCAAATAATGTATTGTTTACTCAACACGGTGCAGAATTTATGGAAATATCTTGTAATATAAACCTCATTGTAATATTTACAAATGCGAACCTTTGGGTAATATACCCTTTAAAGCAAACAAGAGAGCGATGCTCAAATATATGGACACGACTTAAACTGTGTGGCTTTGGGTTGTCACTAATATCAGTCGGCACTAGGGAAACGCTATCCAAGTAGGTGAGTTGTCAGTCTCTCGAGCATAGATATCGTAACTTTGCAGACTGATTGCTCGGATGTTGAGTTGTCTGCCTCCCATTGCTCGGTATTCGGTCTTCCTCTCAAGCATCGATATCGCAACTTCGCAGAGCGATTGCTCGGCCGATATGTTGTCTGCCTTTCGAAAATAGGCCGCTCAAGCACATAAAAATATCAATGTGAGAATATTGATGTGTTTCCTGCCATTGGAACCTCGAAATAATCGAAATTACACCTCTATAGTCTTAAAACACGCCTTGTGGAAAATGTGACAATATGGACTATTCATCATTACTCTTGTCTAGGTAGTCGAATTGTCTCAGGTAAGTTATCCGTGTAGTCGAGTCTCCCGCCTCCCGTTCAATAAACTGCGCTTAGGATAAGATAGGACGAAATAAACCATTTTGAATTATGAAGTCACAATAAGCGTGCAATATATTTAAGCGACTGTATAAAATCTGAAATACAGTGAATATAACAACGGCATCCTCTTGTTGTGTGGGCATGTGTTCAAGTCCTAATGTCGTGCATCCCGTAGGTGGCGACGAAGAATATGATTCAAAACCGATACCATTGCGGAAGCGACAATGCCGAGACTTGCCATTTCTTGCCTGCTATATATTATTCGTTGCTGCATTTGTTTCAATATCCATGCACTGTTTTCAGAAATGTTATCCGTCGTATGTATGGGCTGGGACCGACTCATGGGGGAACGTTTGTGGAGGCGATCCAAGCTCTTCGCGTGTGGTTGAAGGCGTTAAAGGATCAGGCGACGTAAAGGCCGATTCGACGTATTTGTGGAGAATGCAATGCATCAATACAACCTTGAGATTCTGCGTTAAAAAATGTCCTGAGTGGTTGGAGAACTCGTCTACGTGTTCCAACATATTTTGGAAAAATGGCTACAACTTTATCAATGATACAACATTGATAAATGGATGTGACGACGCGTGTGCACCAAAACGATTGAAGTGAGTTGCCATGTATAGTAGACATTAGGTGGTATGCTTTAATTGTTACTTCGACTACCAATCAAAATAATAGGGAAAATTTTGTCTATTTCAATCTAATTTATATACTAATTTCAATTTGCTATTTTATGGCAAACTTTTCAAATGTTTAGCATGAGCAATATTTTGTAAAAAGAAGAACAAGTGCTTGAAATTGAAAGTATTGATAAACTCTAAAAATTCGCCGCATCAGGCTTGCAATATTTAATCAGTTAGATCAGGGGTGGCCAACCTATGGCGCATGCGCCAAACGTGGCGCATTGCATGATTGGAGGTGGCGCATTGCATCTTTAACAGGAAAATAAATGAAGTTCAAATATTGATACTAAAGGCATGTTGTCACAATATTACGCCTAACTTTACTTCTTAATCGTACCTTTTTCTCTTCGTTGTTAAAACAGCGTAATGCTCATAAGACAGGATGCGTTTTTTTCCTACTTTCAGGAAGCCTGTAGTTTTTATTTGAAGCATGGCGTCACAATGATTCCCTGTTTCGTAATCAATCGTAATCTGTTTATCGTAAATTGCTCGAATTTTTGCGTGGATACGAGAATTTTCGTTGAGTTAACTATATATATGAGGCTGTCATTGAAAATTATTCATTCAGTGTTTAATTCAGTGATTCGGTAATTCTCTAAATGAGTGGTTTTCTGTAAACTTAATTGGTAAAGTTTCTTCTTGTGTGTGTAAAGGCGTGTATTAAAGGTTGATTTTTGTTTGTAAACATTTGCAGTTGTGTACTTTTCAAGACTTAAGCTTTGCTTTTGTATATTTTGTTACCCAACACAGTGCGAAAGAAAATGAACAAAAGAAAGGCGGAAACTGATAGTAAGCGTGAATTTAATGAACAATGGGAAAATGAGTTGTTATTTATTGCAGGTCCGTCAAGAAAACCGGTGTGCATTGTTTGTGAAAAAACTCTTTCAAAAATAACTCCAAGAATAAAAAAACTGGCGAAAGTAAAACAGCAGCAAAAGTCTCATAAAGGCGGTACTTAAATGAAATTGATCCGTTTTATTTATTATACTTCCTTGCTTAATTTCTATTCATGTGAAGTTGTAAATTGTAAAAACTACATATACGTGTGTATATATGTGTGTGTATTATAAATTTATATAATTTCAACAAGAAGCGGACATTAGGCGTGGGAATACAATTGAATTGGCCACCCCTGAGTTAGCTTTTTCTTGAATAGTCTTTTTTTAAATAAAGTAAAAAACGAGTTGAAGGATTTCTTCAACCATATCCAATATGCAAATTTGCACATTTATTTTACAGTGCCAGCAACAGCATCGTTATATTGAACAGATGTATAAAGGAGCAACTGGTGGAGGGTGGTTATGTCGAAATTGCAGAGTTCCTCACTATTTTCAGTTACGTCATTGATGATATAATAAGCAGTCTGACTGCAAGCGGATCAATTTTCGTACTCATACTTATCGGTAGCATATTTATGAACATGCTTCTCGTTCGCTTTCCAAAATATGCATCGCTGTGCTGTTATGTGACATCCTTCTTAATGACATCACTGGCCTGCTCATACATGATAGCGCATGTGGTCAAGTTACTTCCCGGCATGACAGATTATGAAAACGCTGTTTACAACAATAAAAGATTATTTACGACATCGCGAACGATTCCATATTTATTAACATCCGTATTAACTATTCTTCTGGCATCGTATCCACAAACAGGTGAACTGTAAATCTTAGTTCAATATCTTCGAACATATATCGCCAGCCTAATAAAAAAAAGGCCTAAGTCAATTTTCGCATTTTGAGTAAATCAAAAAAAAAATCATAACTTTTTCAATCTGTTTCAAAAATTTCTTTACTCAGATTTATCTTATCATATTTTTAATTCTTCTAGAATATATATAACTTTCAAATTTTATTTTTTATATGCGGTGAAATTGACATTTTTTTTTATTCCCGCACCCTGCGTTGGGCAATATTATTCGCATAACCTAAGTTCATTCGGCAATAATTGAAAAAAATATTTAGCGAGTAACTTCGATTGAATTAATATGTCAAAAAAAGAAGTCAAAAAATGCGATGTACCTCCGTGATTATAATTTGGCTATGATGAACATTGGACTAGATGTGTTTTATTCAATTGATATGAGGAATGTAAAATTTCACAATTAAAACAATATAATTCAATCAAAACACCAATAACTTATTTTGAACCTACAACATCAACATGAACAAACAACTTCAATACATGAATTCAAAGTATACTCCACTAAAGTTCATATAATATACTCGTGAGGAAGGTTATCAAAAATACGATGGCAGTCAATTGGCCTTGGAGATTTCCTTGCACAGGCTGGAATATGAGATCTAACATTGGCACCCGTTGAGTTTGAACATACTGTACACGAAGTGGTAACGTTTTCCAGATTGCTACCTCAAACGAAAACTTGTAACGAATACTATCATCACTATAAGTCACGCAAGTCATGCACTCTGGGATCTCCTGCTCTCTTTCCGGGTCTAATGCTTTGAAGGAACAACTGAGTACGATTAAATCTCGTTGAGTACGAATGTCCCCTACTATCTTACGTTCAATGACTCTGTGCATTGAGTCACATTCTATTTGTGTGTGCCCGGCCACCAAAATTTTTGCTCAATATTTATGTTGTTGTTCTTGCCAAACTAAAACATGCATTAGCTACCGTGGTATTCCTATTTTGGTAACCACATTCCTCGCTCCACATTCATGCTTCAGCTCGGGATTATTACAAGTGATTCGCTTGGAATGCTCAAAATGCAAGTAAGCAAATACTTCACTTGAAAGATTGCCATCAGTTTCATTCCAGACGTAACAGTAACCTGCTTTTGATTTTGTATCATAGCGTGGAATTGTGTATATGTAGCTTAGTTCTGTAATAGGATGTGCTAGCTCTGGTTCTAGGTCCCAGGACATAAAAGCACTGCCTGTAGGTCCATCATCCAAACTGATTTATTTGCACTTGCAGAATCTTTGTCGGTCATCTTTTCTAGCATCATCCTTCAGTTTGATTCAAGCTATACTCAACTAACTCAGTACTCATGTTTGTAACCTATACACTTACCACATTGATCCGTTCAGGGAATAAAAGCTGAGTATTTGTGTCTGTGGAGAATCTCGTTGAAATAGGCTTCACTATCGACCCTCCTGTTTGCTGCCTCTGCAATATTTTTGCAAAGTCTGTGGAGGGCAGATATTGTGGTGCATAGATACAAAACTTCAATGTTTCTGTAACTTTCTGCAATAATGCGAGTCAACAGTGGGTAGTATGCCGAGCCACTCTTTTATAAACTCTCTAATCTTTTCGCTTACTTTTCCGCACACCTTCCACTTTTCGGACCTGCTTGAACAACAGCTGATACGTTAGACGGGGATTTATGTTTAATCCAAAACACCAAAGTTCTGCAAGCATTTCAAACTTAGATGTGAACAATGCTTTGCGGATCAGCAGTTCATAACCATTTGTAAACTTTAGTTTGTAAACATACAAAGATTTCCTCCAAGATACACCAGATGATCTGTTTAACCGCATGCGTCCCAACCAGAGTTCAATATTACAAAATTCCCAACAAGGCAACCAGTGTGGTGTTTGTTTTGCAACTGCTGCAAACCTCTGGGAGTTTAATAACTTCATTTTTTCGTATCAATTTTGTTTTGAACATACTTTTTTGTATTAAATAACTTAGAACACTGTAACAAAATATGAAGATTCGCGAAAAAGGTATTTTCCTGGTCGATAATTACACGACTCTTTCAACGTAATTGTGAGATGCCCGATTTTATCCCAAGCGGTCGTCCGAGCTTATTGGGGGCATCGCTGGTTGATGCGGCAGTGAACTTGTGTTAGATTTGTTTGCACTCACTGGTTATTTTGTGGTATGAAACCAGTGCTACGCTATATGAGACGCTGCTGGTCTCAAACGAAACAAAAATACTACACATAATAAGTGGTAGGCCAAATGTATCTACATTGTACAGTTTCATCGTAGAATTGATCCTAATATCAGATAACGAATTACACTTAAAACCTTAACTTAACGCAAGTATATGAGATGAAACCAATTTTCTAGCTGACAAATAACGATAAAACAAAGACGAGCAACACTTGAGCGAGGTGGGAAAGACATCCTCAACTTCACACTCGACAACGCGACGTCGCGCAGTGCGGACGTCTTTGTGAGCATAAACCTGGATACAAACTATCTTCTGTTTTGTGGATTAAACTGGATACAACACTACATTAATACGGTGAGATCGTTTCTTTATATTCGATCTGTATATATTGCTGTATATAAAGTGCAATTGACTGAAATCCAGTACAAATTTTCTTTTGGAGAGTGAACGTTTATTACGGATAAAGCTGTTTTATGTTATAAGATGGACGGCGATGAATCGCCAACTTCTTCCGGAGTGAAAAGGAAGGGGGACGATAGTAATTCTAATGCCCAAAGTAAAGTAAAAATTAACACAATGAGTCAAGAAAATGACGTTATGTCTACATTCGTTGTTGTACGGGGTACCCAGGGTAAGATGAGAACGTACAATCCTATAGTTATACATAGAAATCTGGTGCAGAAGTTTGGAACACTAAAATCGGTACGTGTGCTGTTCTGGTTGAAAATTGAATGTTCAAACGAAAAGCAAGTTAAACTATTGTTGGAATTGATGATTATCGCGATAGCACAACCAACATTCCAGTGAAGACCGAATTGTTTGTAAACAATGATCAAAATACTAGAGTAGTAATTTAGATGTGCCAATTAACATGACCGATAATGAATTGTTGGACGCATTATCTGACAACGTGTTGTCTTGTAAAAAGGCTTAATAGAAAAATCGAAGGCAAGTTTGTGCAGAGTAAATCAGTTCTAATTTGTTTTAACACATGCATTGTACCATCAATCGTGACTATCGGCTATATGCGATTCAGGACCAGAGTGTATAACCCTCCACCGATTCGTTGTTTTAATTGCAATAGATTTGGCCATGTAGCTAAAAATTCGATGTAAAGTTCGCTGTGCCAAGTGCGGTAGAAACCACGAATATAATAAATGTGATTCCGAAACTCCAAGATGTTGTAATTGTGGACAAGAACACAGCGCCGCATATGGCTGCGAAGTATATAAACGGGAACGGTTGATTCAAAAAACAATGGCGAGTACTAAACTACCGTATGAGGAGGCAAAGAACCACATTAAGCAAACTATTTCAGAAACTGCGCAATTTTCGGCAAATGATTTCCGGCTCTTCCCAGTAAAGTTCCTTTTCAAGGAAGTACACCTGTCCTTATGATTAGAAAGTCGAAAGATATGTTGTCATCAGACAAGTCATCTCAACAAGCGCCTATTATAGGCCAATATAGTCGCCACAATTCGAAAGAGGTAAATGAAGATAAGAATGCACCTATATCTCTGGACCCAATACATTTTTTTGCATTTATCGCAGAAGTCATAAAAAATACGCTAGAGGTTTCTCAAAGTGGAAAAGAATGTGATGTTTACGCTATTGTTTCGATGTCCGCTGGCGCTCAATTTGGATTCGATGTCGACGCTGGCAACCTTAAAAATGCAATAAAACAACATTCAACCAAAAAAAGTAAAATTAACTATCATCCAATGGAATTGCCGTAGTATATACCGGAAACTAGGTGAATTGAAAAACTTTATTAGTGCTTCACACTAGAGATGTACCGATGTATCGGTATCGGGTATCGGTATCGGCAATATCGGCCATTTTTTGGTGGCCAAGTATCGTATCGGTTAGATTAGGGCCGATATTTCCGATATATTTACCTTTTGATATGGTCCAGAATGTTTTAAAAAGATAAGTTGAATACTACTTTTAATTTATTTTTTGTCTCGAGAGATCGTGAGCTATGAGCCATACATGTCCCCACCCTTGCGAGAGAATAGGATGCACGTGTTTTTAGCTATTTATCAGCCAAACTAGCTCATCTAATTTGGCTATTTTCGCTGTCAAATTTTTATATTGACATTTATAATATTACATAGTAATTATGAAGAAATATAGACTGTTTGTCGTCAAGTACGAGTGTCATTTAGTCCGTCGACATCGATAAACTAAATTCCGACACAATTATCCCGCTACGCAGGTAATAATTTTAATTTTTTTAACTACACAATACCTTTATAGATATATTGACATGAGCGCCTAGCCCTAGACTGTCTCAAAATATATGATAGCAATTGTATAATAATATAAAATAGTAAAGTAAAAAAAACATCCTCGACGGTTATAGGTAGGCCTTCTTTTGGTCGGTGCTGATTGATATTCTTTCATGTTGGCTTTTCACGTCGACGATTTAGATTAGCCACGAAATAAAATATTTGTAAAATGCTTTCAATTTGAACGTAGGACGGCGGCGCTAGAATGTGTGGGTGATATTCGATATTTTTTAAACACGAATAACGATATTCGAAGGTCGCGATATTAACATTAAATTCAAATTGGACATCCCGGCTTATGAGTTTTCTAATTGAACACCGAGATTACTAGCGTTACTGTACAATGTATCTTAATCAGTTAAAGCATATGAATACTAAACATTAATTTCATATTATGTGATATATCTTTTTTTTCGATCTGAAATAATGTGTACTATGAATAGCGCTCAAAAACCATTGTTTTAACCCGTCTGCCCTACACAGCACACCTAATTAAGTAATAATTACATAGTATCGGTATCGGAATATCGGTAATATCGGCATTTTTGTAGTATCGGCGTTTTTAGCTGGTATCGGATCGGTATCGGTATCGGTGACAAAAGTGGTATCGGTACATCTCTACTTCACACCAGAAACCTGACGTAATAGCCATCCAAGAAAGCAATCTCACACCAAAGCATAATCCTAGCATACCAGGGTATACCCTAGTACGCAAAGATAGATTGATTAGTAAAGGTGGTGGCATCTTATTTGTTATAAAAAGTAATATATCTTTTGTTGAAATACCTTTACAACCTCTAAATGGCGCAGAAGCTCAAAGTGTCAGTTTGGGAAATCTTAAGATAGTCAATGTATACGTATATGTTAGAATTTCTCAATATGCCTTCGAACGATTTTTTGATCAATTTTCACGACAAACAGTCTTTTGTGGGGATTTTAATTCACATCATTTCTTGTGGGGTAGCCCAACAAACAATCAACGAGGACTAGCTCTTGCTGGAGCTATTGACAGCACTGATTTAGTAGTACTTAACACCTCTGTTCCCACTAGGATAAATTTATCCCATAACAGAGTAAATAATTGGTCGTTATTGGATTTAACAATAGCATCTCATGTTGCCCATAGATGTAATACAATTGTGACCAATGAGTTACTGGGAAGTGATCACGTAATGGTTAAAACTTATTTTAACGTAACACAAGTCGGTGACACAAGTAATTACATGGAATCATGGCGACTCGATAAAGCAAATTGGGATAAGTTCTCGGAATTATGTAAAACGCGCATCAGTGAGAATATAGTCACAAGCGATATAAATGAATTCAATGATTTTCTTACAAATGCGATTATCTTAGCAGCAAATGAATCAATACCACGAACAAAATCCTACACAAAAAATGGCATCCCATGGTGGAATGCTGATTGCGACAAAGCCATACGGCTAAGAAAAGCGGCGTTCCTTAAAATGAAAAGGTCGATGTCCATCGAAAATGTGATAATGTATAAAAAACGTAGATCTGAAGCAAGAAGAATAATATTGAAGGCTAAAAGGCAGAGTTGGCATGATTACTGTAGCTCACTGGACAAGAATGAAAAACTCAGCAACGTATGGAAAATGGTTAGGCGCTTCACTAAAAGCAAGGTATACGAACAAATCCCCGGCCTTAAAACACAATGGTATAACAGCAATCGAAGATTCCGAAAAAGCTGAGCTTCTGGCGAGTTCGTTCTCGGCGGTCAGTAGCAATGAAAACTACACTCCGAAATTTCTTCAAAGAAAGATCGCATTCGTCCCTCACACACGTAACTCTCAAGGCTAATCACAAATTGGATAAAAATATCACAATGAAAGAACTTAATCAAGTTTTAAAACCAAGAAAAAGCACTGCTCCAGGACTAGACAAGATTTGCTACGCGATGCTTATAAAATTGCCCGCAGAATGTAAAGACATATTACTCAAATTGTTCAATTTGATTTTGAACAAAGGGAGTATTCCAGATACCTGGAAACGCTCTGTTGTAATTCCGATTCTTAAATCCAATAAACAAAAAGACCAACCATCTTCATATAGGCCTATATCTTTAACTAGCAATTTATGTAAGGTCTTGGAAAGAATTATAGTTCGCAGACTGAAGTGGTTTGTTGAAAAAAATGGCATATTATGTAGAGAACAGAGCGGTTTTAGGTGGAGGAGATCTACAACTGATGCATATCTAAAATTACACGATGACATATATAAAGCTTTACCAAATAAAAGATCTGTACTTGGCATTTTCTTAGACATGGAAAAAGCGTATGACATGGTATGGAAAAGAGGACTGTTATACAAACTATATAACATTGGTGTCACCGGGAAAATTTGGATTTTTGTTGCATCTTTTCTGACAAATCGTTCATTTCAGGTTAGAGTAGGCAGTCGTCTTTCAAGTATATTCTCATTGGAAAACGGAATTCCTCAAGGGAGCGTAATCAGTCCACTGCTATTCAATATAATGATAAACGATATGCCTAGTACTATTTCATCAGATAATGTTGGATTGTTTGCAGACGATAGCGCTCTATGGCACATTGGTCTCAATATTGAAGATTTAATCATTTCCTCTCAGAACTCGTTGGATTGCATTCAGTCCTGGTGCAATCAATGGGGTTTTAAGATCTCGGTCACAAAATCAATAGTTGTACTCTTCACCCGAAAGAGAAAATTACCACCAATACAACTACACATAAACGGTGTAATACTCCCAGTCAGGAATGAAGTAAGATACCTCGGAGTCTATTTCGATAGGCGCTTAAATTATAAGAGACATATCGAATATGTTGTACAAAAATGTAGTAAACGGATTAATCTGCTGCGTTTGCTTATTGGAACTAGCTGGGGAGCTAACAAATCACCCCTTTTGTCATTGTACAGATCCCTAGTTCGACCCATTATTGAATATGGTATGGAAGCCTATTTTTCAGCATCAATAAATGCCATAAGAAAAATCGAAATTATCCAATCTCAATGTCTACGCATCGCTGCAGGTGGCATGATGAGTACGCCTAAAATTGCTTTACAAGTTTGTTGTAATGAGATGCCATTGAGTATAAGACGACTACAATTATGCCTCTTATATAAGGCTAAACTGCTAACATTTGTTGACCATCCTTGCCACGAAGTCATCGAACACTCATGGCATGAAATATTTCCCAACTCTCCAGCATTTCGTACATTTGGTATGATTGCAAGGACTTTCGATATTGACAAATTGGATATTAGTATTATTAAAGCCGAAGAAATTCCCCCATGGTATTTGGACGAAATTAATATCGACGATGCATTATCGAATATACTTTTTCCTTGGTATACGCCCGACCAAACAAAAGCTATAAGTTTGGATTATATAAATGAATCCTATCAATCACACGTGCATATCTATACCGATGGGTCAAAAATTGATGACAAATGCGGTGCTGCGGTTTATGTTCCATATAATAATTCTCGTATGGGTTTTAGGCTAGACAAAGACTGTTCCTCGTTTGATTGCGAAGTTTTTGCAATATATAGTGCCCTTACATGGTCAAAAAATAACTATAAAAGGAATATACTTGTCATATCGGATTGTATGTCTGCTATACACGCTATAAATAATAACTCGGATCAAATTAGTAATATATCTTCAAATATTCAGACTTGTCTTTTTGAGTTACAGGAACAAGGATGCAAAATCACACTACTATGGGCTCCAGGACATGTTGGCATTCCGGGTAACGAAGTCGCCGACAAAATAGCAAAGGTATCAGCGGCGAAAGTCGATGTGGACAAAAGATTATCCCAATCACAAAACAAAGTCAAATCACAAATTCGACAATTCTGCGCTAATAAATGGGATCAACATTTTATACAAAGTGACCAAGCGTTTCATTACAAGACAATTTTCCCCTCAATTGAAGACAGCATCAAGAATTCCACTTGGTCACCACGAATAATGGACAAAATTTTATTTCGACTTCAGACGGGACATTGCCGTTTAAATGGGCACCTCCATAAAATAGGATGCCATAATAATGGACTTTGCGATTTCTGTAATGATCCAGAGACAGTAGAACATTTTCTAATGAACTGTCGTGCATATAGAAATGAAAGACGCATACTAAAGATGAAATGCCGCGATTATGGCATTGAATTTCAACTCAAAGCTATCTTACGCGACCCTAGCATTTTCCCTGCTCTTGTTGATTTTGTGAAATCTACCAAGAGAGTATTATAGGCATATACAAAATTTTGATTTAAATTGACTGGCGCAAAAGACTCAAATTGTTTAAAGCGCCATATATTACCATACCACACACACACATCCTCAACTTGTTCGCATCAAACGTTTCATGAAAATAATCATGAAGGAAATGACATCGGGCAACGACCTTGTTTCAGGCAAATAACATGCACTATTAGCAATAAGTGGTGAAAAGTATTATAATACACAGTAACTATCCTATGTACTCGCTACACAAGATTCGTCATCAATTTCTATCTTTGGGTGTGTTGTGTTGTCCTTAAAAGTTCCTTCATGTTTATGATCTAGAAACTAGACTAATACCCAAATTAAATAATTACGACAAATATTTACAGTTGAACAATTTGAAGCATACCTTCCTGATGAGAAACAGCTTAGCTCAAGCTTAAAATTAGTTGCAATGATAAAGAAAATATTGAAACAATCATTCGATTACAATTCTATAGAATGTAGCGTGTAGCGTGATTTACATATTGCAGAAAATGGTCGTATTATATCGTTGAGAGACTGTTGAAATCTTCAATTTAGGATTAGTTTTGGTATAAGAATATATCGCACATAAATTCATTTTGCAAAAACATTTTAAATGACATTATTTTTAGTTTTGTAAGAGAATTCGGAAGTTAGCCTTGCGTCATATTTTATTTTTGCTTGCAAAAGTTTTCTCAGTTCAGTTGCTATAAATTTCAGTAGAACTCGTTTATTTTTATATACAGTGTAAGTTGACACAGTATATTGACTTGTTATAAGAGTGGTGAACAATTCTCCTGTATAATAAATTACACGTTGTCGGACCCGAATATAATTGCAAATATTCAAACATTTACAACATAAAAGAACAAAATATCAAAGACAAATGACTGGAACGATGATGAGGTTTTGTAAAATATCTATCGATATCTGACGAAAATAGCAATAACACACTTTGCAGTATGGTATAAGATGTCTTGTGTGATAGGTAACTAACCGTTGCCACCTCATTCGTAAACTTAGTTTTTTTATCGTTGGTAAGTCTCTGGTAATAATATTTCCTTTTACAACTTTATATCATTTATTTATATCAAAATATTTCATGATTACTACACCTGAGAACCACAATATCATTTCTTGTTAAGTGTATCATTTCTTATTGTTGTGAAATGAACCTGAACATACTATGTGTAAAGGTTAAGGTTGTGCGCCATCTTGGTGCACATACTTCAGGATCGCCATTACGTTTATGTATTTCGAATCGAGATTCGGAATCGAAAAAAAATCGAATACTAGTAAGTATTCATACATTAATTAGCTCAAAAATGTTGGGCGGGATGATTGATGTTCATAGTTTTATTGAAGCACAAAATATGAAGTAAGCGTTTTTTTTATTATATGATACCAAACTTATTCCATAATTCCATATTCATCGACTATTGAAACAGATCTGAGCTCTATATTTTTCGTCACGCTGTCGCGTGTATTATTACTCTGGTGATAATTTGTTTTTCTGCTAATTTTGATTGATTAAATTTATATAATTTTCCTGTCATTCCCTCTAAAACTTCTTGTTACGGTCCATGAACGCACAGTTGAACCCCACAAGGGCGCTGTCGCGTGTATTATTACTCTGGTGATATGTTGTGATTTTGTTTTTCTGTTAATATTGATTGATTAAATTTGTATAATTTTTTTTGTCATTCCCTCTTAAACTTCAGCCCACAGGTGTCGCTGACTCGATGACTGTCACAGTCTTTCGCGACTCCTTATCTATTGCTATGAATCTCTCATTTGTATGAATTCTTATGTGCATAATTACATTTTTACGATTGTCATTATACACGTTTGTCATTTTTTCGTGCTTTAATTTTTGTGTTGATTCTTGCATGATGGAAATAAATTATCTGAATCTGAATCTCATAAACTGCAACAAAACCGCGGGTGGGCTTGAGTGCTACGCATTGAAGCGTTGCGAGACAACGATGGAACATAAACAAACAAAGATGCATCCATAATAACTATATTTGCGTATTGCTATATTTGCGTTTGCTATAACAATACTTGCGTCCAACCATGTTTTTTATTTCGAAGAAACGAAGACCATGCTTGTTTATTGAAGCCATACATCGGTAACGGTACCGCACCACTGAACTGGAAATCTATATGGAACGATTCACTCGATCGTTCTGCGTTGTCTCATTGCGGGATCAATTGATCGCCGCCATTTTGGCATTTATTCTTCCAAACTTTCTTCGTTCTGTATCTGGTTTTAATAAGTATATATTTTGACTCCATAATCAGCATGAAAGACGATAAAATAAATGACAAAAGTAAAATAAATGAATCTGATTACAGAATCAGCAAAGCGAACAAGACCTTAATTAGGTAAGGTTTAAAACGTACAGGTTTTAGATTTTTAAAGGCGGTGTCAATAGAAGTGGTACGTGCTTGCCCACTCAGAGGTATTGAGTTAATCAAAACACGCACAATACATACAATCACGCAGACAAAATAAAATTAGAAGCGATAAAAAGAGAGAAGCATAAGAAATATTACTTGGTAAAAAATTTACAAACAAAAAGTAAAGAGAAATAAAACCATATTAATAATTTTGTAAGAATTGACAAATCGGATACAGAATTAGTTCACAGGACTAAAATGTATAGGAAAATATTTCTAAAAAAATAGCGCCAAGCTGATTATAGTAGGTGTATGGTGGCCCATCGTTGTCACGTGTAAAATTTAAAAAAAAAATGAAAAAAAAAAAATGAAAAAGCGAAAATAAAAAATAGTTGTGAAAAAACATAAAAATAATTGAAAAAAAAGAAATAAAAAAAAAAATTGAAATTGAAAAAAAAATTGAAAAATAAAACAAAAAAAAAATTTAATAAAAAATTAAAATTAAAAAAAAAAAAAAAAAAAAAAAAAAAAAAAAGAATAAAAAGAAAATAAAAAGGTTGACAACGATGGTCCGCCTCGTGGCCCATCGTTGTCACGCGTTTTTATTTTGGAAAATTTGATGCTGCTTGGGACCAACGTTGTCAGGCTTAATCCTACACGCACAAATGTGTTTCCTGGGTTTCTAACTCACTACTGATTTTCATGAGCAATATCCAATAAATTCAACATGAAAATGTTCTATAAATTCTCCATGCTACAAGTTCAACCACAAGCAATATATTTATAATAATGATAAGAGAATATAGAATTGGATACGAAAATTTGTTTTTACGTGTAGAAGATAATTTAATTGGAAAATGCTGCTTAACTGCTCAGACACTCGTGCGATGCCGGTACGGTACCGTCTGACCGTACCGGTACCCATGCAATCACTCGTGAAAGAATGGGAGATACGGATAGTCTCGTAGAATATAGTCTACTGAAACACTCTCTGCGCCTGCCCCATACCGTACAGCCGTAACGTACTGATCCAGACAAATGATAAATCGCCCGTGCTCAACCATTTATTCCAATCCATACCTCGATTCACTATATTCTACTAGGATCGAGGTATGGATTGAAATAAATGGTTGAGCACGGGCGATTTATCATTTGTCTGGATCGGTACGTTACGGCTGTACGGTATGGGGCAGGCGCAGAGAGTGTTTCAGTAGTCTATATTCTACGAGACTATCCGTATCTCCCATTCTTTCATGAGTGATTGTATGGCTACCGGTACGGTCAGACGCAAAGCGACTATAACCGACTACCGGTATTTGGTAAGACGGTACCGGCATCGCGAGTGTCCAGACAACTGAGTAGTTAAGCAGCATTCTCCAATTAAATTACCTTATACGCGTAAAAACACATTTTCCGAATTTTCGTATTCAATTCTATATTCTCTTATCATTATTATAAATATATTACTTCTTGTTGAACTTGTAGCATGGAGAATTTATAGAACATTTTCATATTGAATATTGCTCAAGAAAATCAGTAGTGAGTTTGAAACCCAGGGAACACATTTGTGCGCGTAGGATTATGCCTGACAACGTTGGTCCCAAGCAGAAGCAAATTTTCTAAAAATAAAAACGCGTGACAACGATGGGCCACGAGGCGGACCATCGTTGTCAACCTTTTTATTTTCTTTTCATTCCATTTTTTTTCTTTTTAATTTTTTTTTTTTTTTAATTTTTTTTTTTTTTTATTTCATTTTTATTTATTTATTTTTTTTTTAATTATTTTTATGTTTTTTTACAACAATTTTTTTATTTTCGGTTTTTTATTTTATTTTTTATTTTTATTTTCAATTTTACGCGTGACAACGATGGGCCACCATATAGGTGTCTCCTAATGGCAAATTGCCCAATCGGAATTGCCACATTGGAGGTATGAAGAGGTGGGCTGGACCAGTGGTCCCCAACCGCCGGTCCGCGAAGCTTTTTTGCCGGTCTGCGAGAAAGTTCGTTGTTTTGTTATTTTTATGCCGTCTCAATCGCTTTACCGAATACAGGATTACGTTGGTTCGTTACGCAATTTCTCTTCCGCCATCATATTGCGACATCGCGGCGACGTGTTTCGCGACATCTAGGCGCCGAGGAATCACACTTTTCGCTTTTTAAGCTTCGATTCATCGCGAATGCGCTCCATCAAATATCGCAAAATTCAGAAACCTACAAATTGGCAAGCGTGCTTTTTCTGTTCTACATGCTTTTCATGATTAATATGACCATCCTTATAAAACGTTATGCATATTTCCTTGTTTAAACCAGAAAAAAGTAAAGAACAGTATAATATTCCAGTAAGATATGAACTTGTTGCGACCCTGCATGTGGTCACGCGACGCTCAAAAAAGCATGGGCCGCTGAGATCTTTTCCAATATTTTGAGCCTGGTGCCAGGTTACCGACGACTTTGTCATTGTAATGTAAATTCATTTAGTTTGAAGCATCGATCAACTGGAGAGGGATTAATATGATAAACCAGATGAAAAAGCTTGATAAAAATTGAGATTCTACTTTACAGTCCAGATCTAAAAAAGAATCACTGTCACAATTTTGGATGTCTCTTGATAACGAATACCCATCGCTAAGCAATCAAACTGTTGTCCGTATTTTCAACCATTTACTTACTGTATATGCGTTGTGCGAACAAATATTTTCATCACTAGCTCTAATCAAAACGAAGTCAGGAAATTGGCTTCGCTGCAGAGCTACGTACGTGTTGCAGAAACTTCTTTGAGGCCTTATTTGTAATTCTATTACTTGCAAGTACTTAAATGCTTTTGATTTGATCCAGGTAATGGCGATGGTTTTTCAATGTAGTGTAATTTTGATGTGAAGTTTTGTTTTCATCGGGATGGCCTAAGACTTAGCTATTCAGGATACGCTCAAAAGGATATTTTCAAATATGAAATATATTCTAAAATCCAAACCGAAAACTGGTGAACCTATGCTTTGCCCGAGTTCACGCTCGTGTATTTTTATTTTTCAAGCTTCAACGCCCAAATTCAACAATTCGCGTACATATATATACTTTTCTTTCTCAAGAATCACAACCCAAACTCTTTGCGTCAAACAGATCAGATGATACATGGTTTATATACATTAACTGTGAATCTTAATTGTGAACTTTGGGAGCAGTCTTTGATGACCTCATGGTCGTGTCGCTCACTCCAGTATACCGAATTAACTTATATTTTGTATAGCTTTTATTGTACCATCGCTTGTTTTCTGGTTGACGAAACAATAAATCTCTCTCTGCTTGGTTGATGCCAAATCTAGGGTTTCGTTTTTTATCAATTTAAAAAAAAAACATCCTGTTTTAAAACATGGGCTTGTTTTAATAAATCTATTTTTATTTAATACCCCTTGAAACTACGCCAAAATGTTGCGTTCTGTCAGCTGTACACTCAGCCGGAATAATAATTTCAAAAAAGTAAGTAAAATTTTTCTTTCACTTTCATCGCGTACATTTGTCGCCAAGTTTGTACCTACACCAAAGTCAGGAATGCTTATTCGAGATATCAGGAAAACGTTTTGAGTAGTAAAAATCATGAAACGAAGCCCACGAGCCTACTACAATCCAAAAGCAATTGGATCAAGGGCAGCTCATGGTAAAACAAGTGCGTTACAATAATAAAGAAATTACTTAGATTGACGGCAACCTACGGATTTAGACTACGGGGCACTCTGGCTCGGGCTATGCTAATTGTAAGATCCCTCTGGTACAATGACGTCACAACTTATATGTTATGGCGTCATAATAGGGATTTAGAGTTTATAAATTGGCATTTTTTGGCAAAAAATAAAGGCAATATTACGGTTAAAACTGTTCGTATAATTGAATTCAGAATACTTTGTCTTTGAGGTTAAAAAGATAAAAGAAAAAATATTTTGAAATAAGCCTTTACAATTCAAATAAAACGATTTAAAAAGAGAGAATAGTTCAAAAACGGTTGTCAAGAAGCCTACCTTGCCCAATGGTATATCCGGTCCTGCTTCGAATCCCGTGAGAGATGTGACAATGTGCGAACGAATTGCTCCTCGCCGTCGCAGAGTGCGGACGTTTGCGGACGCATTAAACTACAGCTTGATAAGGCGTGTTTGGGCAAGTCATCAGTTTTTGTGGCGTTTCGAAGGGTTTATTGCGAATGAGAAGCGATTGGCAACTTTTCACATCCATTTTCCATGTTTAAGTTTTAACCTATTTAATACGAAAAAAAAAAAAAACAGCCATTTTAAACAAAACAGGAAAAAAAAATTGATTTAAAACAACTGTTTTAAAACAATTCTCCTTGAACAAATCCCTAGCCAAATCTAGGTCTCAAAATCGACAATTTTCCTATTCAGATAATTCAAAATTTTACTAAAATGAAGAATCTATAGTTCTATACTATATCGGATACAATAAATTTCTATTCTGTTTGAATATCAAGTTCGATTTTACCTCCTGATTTTGGGCTTCCATTTTCATCAACTGCTTTTACTATACAAAATCAATATGCTCGGCAGCTTTGCATTTTAGGGGTGTATTCACAGATTTAGATGGTGATGAATAGTTTGCTATTACCAAAAAAACTATTTGTAACCAATAAAAAATGTGTTATGTATTTTACTGACCATCTGCACCGGTACTTGCGACACTTTGTAGATATTCAAATATAATTATATATATTCAAGTTAGGAATGTTGAGCCTGATTTGGAGCTCGTACTTGAAAAAACGTGTTGGTTTGGGCGATTTCACAATAGATATAAGTGGAAACAATTGTTTTTGACTGATCTCGTAAAACGCAATAACCTCCACGGGAAGGATTTCACCAAAAGTCTTCAGTTGGTCTCGCAAAACGAGAGCGAATCGCACTCTAGTTCTATTTATATGCATAGCTCAGATACCAAAGTGACTATAATTATAGTCACTTTGTCAGGTAGCCTACTACGGAGTCCACGTTATGATATTGAGATCGCCACGCAAAATATACAGCCAGCCGATAAAATATGGCCAAATATATGTAAATGGAAAGCAATTTCGATAAGCCACCTTGGGTGATGTTTTATAGTCGTGAATGTTCGCTTTTGACTGACACATTGCCATATTATTCATCACGACTCACGCAACATGAGAAAAAAGTCAAAATTAGCACGGTATGGTGGGCTGGGATCTATTAGCGTTTCATACTCAATAAGAAACGAATCAATATTAGGCGAATATGCAAGAAAAATCGACGCAAATAATTGAGTTCTGTCAATCGTAAATATATACACTACGGTCAAATACCATAAGAAACGCATTACGTGCCACGGAAAAGTTGAAAGTCTACCGTCAAAACGAGAGAGCCTTAGAAATGAGAGAGAAGCACACTCTTATAATCTGCGAGAGTCTGTGTACCGCACTTGCTTTAGTTTAGGGGCTGTTGTTAGAAGTGAGCCTTCATCTGCCATGGAACTCTCGGAACAGCAAGTGAGTGTATTCCGATCCATTTTCCTAACTTTGTTGATTTTATTTCCTAGGAAATTTTATCGTTTATTTTGTATTGAAGTATTGTTAATACCGGTAGTAATTGTATATAATATTCAGTTTATTACAGTATTATATGGCAGTACCGGTACCGGTATCAAATAATGTTGAAATAGGGGAATATAAATGTTAACTTATGTAAAAATAATTGTTTTTTTGTATAATTAATTTGTTTTTGCGGCCCAGAAGCATACTGTTTAGTATTATGATATTTGAGCATATCCTTGGGTTGCGATATTTTAGAAATTTATTTTTACAAAAGTTTGGGTCGCTCGAAAGAAAAGGTTGGGAACCACTGATGTACTGTTTGAAATTCTATGCAGGCTGCCTGAAATTGTGTTTATGCTGTACAGATGTTATATTTTATTCAGGATGCTGGGGTAAGATTTAGAGACTATTCCCATATATCCCGGGGAAATGGAAAGCTGATAAAACAGCTTAATCCAGTAATCATAGTTTACACTACAGTTCTACTGGTTATACAGGTATATGGCAACAAGGCTTTTTGCTCTGTTTCTTGTCCATTCGGGTACCGGTATGGCTGTATGAAAATAGGTATCATAACTAGTTTTTCGTTGTAGATGCATGGGCTCTGGGTCTAGTATAGTTTAGTACCACAAGTACGGTACTTCCAGTGGGCGTAGTATAAACAATTTTGCATATGTTATTCCTAACCCCCACCTGACTATGCCATCAAAAAATTACGACACTACGACGTCACCATCACGTCATAGGGCTTGCCAAAGTATAATTAAGATCGCCCGAAATGAATATGCGCCGCCGATACAGAACTCGCTAACGCCGGCGATCTCTCTCCTATCATGATCGTTGTGGCGAGAAAACGAGAGAAATAGCTTGCTCGATTTTGGGTGATCGTCTGCGTGTTTCGGACGACCATCCGCATACTTTGGTGGGCCTTATTACACCACTGTGACGTCGAAATGACATAATTTTTCGGTGACGTAGTTAGGTGGGGGTTAGGATTGACATATGCAAAAATTGTTGAGCCAAGCCAACTACAAGTACATGTGGTACTAAACTATACCAGACCCTGGGCTTGTTGTTGGAGGAAGCAGCATACCTGACCTGAATATATAGATTTTCCCGACCACAGGACGCTTTGAGTGATGATTTAGTTTCTTGAGATAAATCCATAAATATTAATGCAATATTACATGAATTTATACATTTTGAACAACTCTTCAAGGCGATCGAAAGTACAAGACCTAACTCAAGTTGCAGTCTTATGCATCTAGTGATAAGAAAAGTCGAAGGGGCGAAAGTCTGTAAACCCCTGACCAGCAGTTACATGAACCACGTCGTGACTGTGTGTTGTCTATCAGTACTCTCGCACAAAGTTATCCCCCTAAGTAATTCAAGCCTGTAAGGGTGTGAAGGGTAACCAGAGGTACAATGACAAGAGTGTCCCAGACACTCAGCATAATGGCACTCATGCATATTTATATCTGCATTTTAAGTTTCTATTCGTTATTCAAACAGTGCCAGCTGATCTCCATACCATTGCAGGACTAAAGTTGATATACCGTATTTGCTCGTTTTGTAGCCCGGGCCCCATATTTTTTTCAACCAACTCACTAACTTATTCAAACCGGCCCTTATTCAAGCACCGGCGCTTGTTATTTTCGATCATTACAATAATTAATATATTGTTATTTTCAGTTCTAAAGTATGATTTAAACAAGAATAATAAGAAAAGTTTTGCGACGTCCTATCAATATTGAAACGACGCACTTGGGCGTCGCGACGCCCAGTTTTAGAACCATGGTGTTATGTAATCAATGCTATCTATCTGTTATGTACTTTGACGCCTAAGGCGGGAGTGTTATCTACCGGCGCTTAAAATTCAACAGCATTGTGACAAAAGCGCTTCTTATTTCCTATTGTTATCTACCACTGAAAAATCAGCTTTCATATCAGGCGGGTATTCAAGCACCGGCCCTTATTTATTTTTATGTTCTGTTCACACGGGAGGCTATTCAAACGGGCCCTTAGTCAAGATCGGGCGGTAAAACGAGCATATACGGTATTTCATATTTTATTGAACTCAAAATTTTGAAAAAGGCTGTTAATCACATTGCTACAGACACAAGTCTGTATTGTTTTAGGTATTCTATTCAATGCCGTATTATTTTTTTATTTATCTGATAGGAAGAAGTAGAAGTTTTAAACTCGATATTTGAGGGAGATGAAGCATTTACACAAATCAGTGATACCGAATTTCAATACAAGGTTTGTCCTCAATTTGTTGGAATTTTTCATATGGCATATACCGTACGTAATAATAAAATTTGCAACTCGTCAACTTGACCAAGTTTATATAATTTTTCAACTAGCCAGATTAGACTTGATGTTTGACTTCAATTCGATTGACATTTCCACCACCATCAACCAATCTCCAGTCAATATTACCCAGTTAGTGCTGTTAAATGTATTATAATTGATTTAGATTTCAGAACATGCTGTATGTGATTTTAACAGTCATCTTAACCTTTGCTATCAAAAGTGCTGGTCGGTGATTTTCCTTCAATACAGTCAAATACATAACACATTTTTATAAGTTACAAATAGTTTTATTTCATCACAAATAATAAATGTGAAACACCCCTTCCCCGAAAATGCAAAGCTGGATAACATGCCGTTACTGGTGCTGTTCAATGTAGTTTACGATTAATCTTCACTTTTCCTCATTTTAGGTGGGAGAGGATGGGTCAATGAAATCATTTCTGATCACCATAAAATGGCCTGAACAATATCCACAAATCAAACCAGATATAAATATGGATTCTTTCTACAACAAACATATGTATGTGTTTCATGTTTATTAGTAAATCAGAAATGAAGTGTTTTTAAAAAGATTTGAACCAAATTAAGGTTTTTAAAAAAATTATTATTTTCCTGATTATGAGAGCTTTCAAAAGGTAATTATCTTGCGAACCTAGGGTGACTGTAGTCATTTGTAGATCATTAAAATTCTTATACGTACATCCTGGAAGACTTATTTTCAGTTCAGAGATTTGTTTAAATATTTTGCACACAGAACCGAGGATGTCAAACAAAGTATCATGGAGTCTGCTACCGAACAAGCTGAACTTTTGATCGGGGAAGCAGCCACATACACAATTATAGACTGGGCAAAAGAAAATGCAGAATTGTTAATGGCGGAACAGCGTGAAGTTGTAACTAGGGTGAGTTTGGTTGATGAGTAGCATTTCAAAATTGAAGGCATTCAATCCTACTTTTAGGGACCAATGAGAGATCAAAATTTTTTTTGCATGAGTCTGCTTCTATAATTTCACTCCGAATTACAACATACCAGTAGTAGTTTTGTAACATTTCACAATAGGTTAGTTAATTTATCACTGCAAATGCACTAATGCAATATTGATAAATCTATTTTTGAAGATTACACAACTATGGTACTTACGTTTTACAGGAAGAAGGCATAAGGAATAGCGGTGAAAATGCAGTTTCTAAGAAAAAAGAGAAGAAAGAACAATTGACCAAAGCACAGAAGCGGAAATTAGCAGACAGATTAAGTATGAAAAGCTCTGTAAAGTTCTTGTGTTTAAATAGTTTTGCATTATTTTTCCAGCTACTTCGTTTTTATGATAACTTATGGTCAAGTCAAATCATAGACAATTGCTTGATTTATGCATCATTATCATATAGCCTACTCTTCTCGTGTATATATAATATTTCAGAAATATGTGGTGCTGTGCTATGATAGAACATGAAGTAGAGTTATTATATACTTAGTTACATATTCCCCTGTGAAACTCTTCTTTGAGCCATGCAGTTTGAATTTGCATGAAGAGTTATTTTGCCCATAAAGATTGCAATGTTTGCCATCAATGCAACAACTGCCTTTTTCATTACAGATGCAAGTGGTGAACGTGCCAGAGGTTGGAATTGGGTAGATGTTGTTAAACATGTAAGTTTTATTAGTTTCTTACTTTTGTTAATGTCTTGTGAGTAAAAAGATTTTATCTTTTAGCTTTCCCAGACTGGACGAACGGAGAGCTGATCTGACCCACAACTGAAAAGAATCTAGCGTGACCTCACAATAGGCACTGTGGCAGGTAAATCAACATCATGAAAAGTGATCTGCATGCCATGGGTAATGTAATACTTGACTGGATGACGTGAACTACAGTGTAATGAAGAACAGTAAACCATTTTTGTGCTTAAACATAGACTTCAGGTGGTCGTTTCAGTTTGCTGTGATCGATGTGGACACTCTGATACAGCCTGTTGGAGATGAATCATTTACAAAAATTCATAATTTGATTTTTTCCTACAATTGCTTATTTGGGTTACCTCAGTAATGAGCAGAACCAAGTACATTTTTTACTGTATTTGTGCTCTCTTGCAGTTACTGAAATAGTGTGAGGTTCAATGTTATGGTGGAGAATTAAAATTATATTAATCGCGAGAGATTGGTCTTCCGTGTTCTTTTCAAAATGTGAGAAGTTGTATCAAATCTTTATATGGCTATTCTATTCGTGTTCATTGGTAATTAGGTTTGGTGTAAGTAGGGATGTACAATTCAGAATAACGAATGGGAGATATTGAAGATTCACTGAACGGAAACACCCATTCGTGAGGCGAGGGAGTAGACCAGACCGTTGTTGTCCTCTGGGTTGTTCAGCTTTACTATCGAGATTACGACATGCTAATAATTTATTGTTATCGGCAGATATTATATTTATAGAAATACCAAATTTTACGATTGCAACATTCGGGAATTTTTAATAATCGAGCCAGGGTCACTTTCAAATGATTTCTGGTGGCGTCACAGTTGTCATGTAAAATTATATGTAAAAACGGGAGCAGGAGCCATGAATGTTTCAGAATCGATATATATGTGCAAATAGTTTGGAATCGTACAAAACGCGTTGTCTAGCGATACACAGTATGCGGTAAAGACAAGCTTCCGTCTGCAAAATACCATATGGATTGCATTTCATACTCGTGAATACTGTAGAGAAAAATATTACTTACACCTTTGTATTACGACACAAACACAAGCATTTTTGGTGTGAAATAAAGTCAAACGTTCCATCAAGTTTTTCCATCTTGCGCAAATTATGCCAAAACAGCATATACCTCTGTTGAGGAAGGAAAATGGTATGCTCATGATATTTATATTCTAACAAAAAGATACTGATATTTCAAAAAAAGTAGCTTTTCTAATCAACCAATGTGACACGAAAAGCAAAACGAAGGAGCACAGGTATGCAATCTTTCACAGCAGACTATGGGTACAGCAATTTTCACGACTAACAAGAAATCGGAATCGCCACAAAGTGCGCAATTTTTGATGACGTTATCGCACACAAAATAAGAATCCCACAGAGTCAACAGAAATGTGAAAATAATAAAAGTAATAGCCTTCCAGCGTAAAATACAATCATTAACAACTGAAAATTTTAAAGCAATTGGTCTAGTGCTTATTATAATAGGACTTTTTTTCATAACGATAAGAAGACAAACAAGAGAGCTGCGCTCAAATATATGGACACGTCACAAGGTGTCGCTATTTTTTATTCTGACACATGAAAACCGAATCTCTTAAAGTCCACAGAAATTTTTGAAATAAGTTAAAGTAATACCCTTCTGGCAAAAAATCAATCTTTAACCACTGAAAATTCCAAAGCAATTGGTCCAGTATTCGAAGAGAAAAGCGATTTCATCATGACGAAAGAGAAGACTAACAAGAACAAGAGGGCTGTGCTCAAATATATAGACACGTCACAAGGTGTCGCTATTATTTATTCTGAAACATAAAAAACGAATCTCTTGAAGTCCACAGAAATTTTTGAAATGAGTAAAAATAATAGCCTCCTGGCAAAAAAATCAATCTTCAACCACTGAAAATTTCGAAGCAATTGGTCCAGTATTCGAAGAGAAAAGCGATTTCATCATGACGAAAGAGAAGACTAACAAGAACAACAACATAATATTGAAACGATCGTTATGTATCCTACACTGACGTGTCCAATATTATTGAAACGATCGTTATGTACACTGACGTGTCCAACAAAAACATAATAACAAAACGATGTACATTTCGTGACTACAAAAGGCAAGAAAATCATGGTAATAAGTTATTCTATTTTTACTGGACTAGGAAAATAAAAATAGAATAGTATTCAGTATTTTGGATTAAAGTATGATAGAATAGTAGAAAAATATATTGTTTTGCCCATCACTTGGTGTAAACTGTAAGTAAGGAATAACAAACTTGCGTTTCTCGGAAACATCTCGATGACGATTTCTACAGATATTTTGTCATATGATTTGCTAGAAAACAATTCCTCGTAGTTATGGACAGACTGCTTCAACATATAATATCTATAAATCCGAAACATGTAACTTATTAACCAAGACTACTGGCAATTTCGAACGATCCCGACTTTCAATATATATATATTTATTAACATTCACGGGTGAAATAATTTGTCGATGTTAATATAGGCTACGCGTGTTTCAATGTGCTCTCTCCGAAGAAGCCGAATATGTCGGTCTACGTCACAGGGGGTGGGCGATTACTTTCCTAAGTGGGCCACTTACAGACAATAGACTTGGTTACTGGGCCGGAGGTTTAAAACTCAATATGAGACTATTAATAAAAAACAGTTTATTTGCAAATAACTGGCTTCGATAACAATCACTCGCTGCTTTCACTGATGTAAAAAAGCAATAGGTATTTGCTGCGGCCTGCAGGAGATGCAAAAATTGACATTGGGAGATGACACGAGTATAGGCAGAATAATTGAATTTAAGTACCGACATTGGTGTACCAGAAAGAAGGAAAAACATTTGTTGCAGTACGGTATTTATTTTTGCTAACGATTCGTTATTTTCAACGGAAATTTAGGGGCTCCCGAAGTATGCGAACCAAGATGGCGGACAATCAGATACCGGAAATAATGACTCATTAATGTGAAACTGATTGACCGGTCATTAAGGAAAATATAACTCCATATGCCTATCTGCTGCACGACCCGTAAACAGTAAATTAGCGAATTTATGATAACCATAATAGGATCTAACCAATGCTTTAACAGGGGACGACTATGAAGAAACAATGAATACGGTGACCTTAGCCCAGGAAGGAGTGTTTCATAATGATCCGAAGGAATGTATAGAATTTCTGAGGAAACATCGCCTGTTAGCAGATCACATGGTTTGTCCGAATTGTAATGAAGAAATGCGTGAAGAAAGGTTCAGAAGCCGCAATAAGATAGAGTACAGATGGAGATGCAAAAAGACGGTATGTCGAACCATAATAACGATTCGGAAGAACTCTATTTTTGAAGGGAGTAAGGCCAATTTAAGAGACCTAGTATTACTAATGTATTATTGGGCAAACGAATTCGATCAAGAACGGATTTCAAATGAAACAGGATTGTCAGACAGGACAATTGCGGAATGGGAAAAGCTTTTGAGGGGAGTGTGTTCTAGGGACTTGGACATGAAGGGTCGACTCATAGGAGGATTGGAAGAACGGTATCCATCGATGAGACGCAGATAGTAAGAAGAAATGCTTCAAGTAACCGCGGGAGCAGACCGGTGAAGGCCTTGTGGTTGCTGGGTGGCGTAGAAAGTTCCTCAAAGAAGTTATTCCTAGAACTGGTTCCCGAAGAGACGGGGCGCACGGCTCCAACCATGCTAAGACTTATAGCCAAAAATGTAGCGAGGGGACCCGCATATGGACAGATCAATTTCCCTCCTATAATAAACTAGAGCAAATGGGGATGGGATACATTCATGAAACAGTAAATCATAGCATAGAGTATGTTTCCCCTATGGGTGTTCACACGAACGAAATTGAGAGTTTGTGGGGTGAAATTAAAAAGAGGTTTAGAGCCATGAACGGGGTAGCCAGGCATATGGTCCAGAGCTATTTGGACGAATGGGTTTGGAAAAGGCAATTTACAAAATCGAGATATTTTTCTGAAATATTGAGAGCAATAGCTAACAATCCCCTTTATAAAATTGATTAGACAATATTTTTTGTTTCTTTTTTTTACTTGTGAATTCTTATGTATATTTTGATTATAAATGTTGTGTTATTAACAATTGTGCATATTTCAATAATTAATGTATTCACAGGCTACAAGTAATAATTAATAGGAATAAGTAACTAAAATGGCAGAAGGTGACAGTGCCTACTCATGTGTAATGTTCGTGCCTACCCGACCGTGGGAAGGAATCAAACAAGTGGAAGTCTTGAGTTGGATAGATTTCTGCAAGATGATGGAAGAATACAGGCTGAATCCCTACGAGGCGAGGGGTACGAGAGCAGGACGAGTCAGTGATGACGCTGAAAACAATCCGGTGTCCAGCATTCTCGGCAGTATCCCGAACGGAACGTCCTACTCCGCAGGGAGATTGAGTGAAATGACCCAGAATCTTTCCGTCCAAGAGGCGATGCTAAACAACGGAATAAATTCGGGAGAGTGTCCAGAGACTGGCGAAAGTGCGATGGATGCTACCCAATCCGAGATTGGAGCCCTAAGTGAGATAGATATAGCGGACGTGGAAGAGATTCTGGAACAATCTTTAAATGAAGGTAGAGAAAACGAAATTAATGATTATAAATTTGGCGAATGTACCCCGGAACAAATAGAGGCTATGGCTTTTAAACAAGTGAAGATCATGCATGAGAATGGGTGCCTATTAACCGAATTAAGGAAGAAGGAAAGTGAATATAAAAGTTTGTCGTCCAGCGAACGACGGGGATATGATAGGTATGGCCCAGCGATAGATTCTACACATCCCGATTACAATCCTAAGTTAGCGGCAGTATTAAGACTTTCCGATGTCAGTAGTCAAGCGCTGACGTCATCACTGACAAATTGCATCTCACAATTTTACAAACAATTTTCGAAATACGCGTTCGATTGCCTCCTATGCTTTGTGACAGAATTGAATCCGAGTACCAAAGGAACGGGCTCAGGGATGAAAAAAATTGATCGAGAATATTGGCTATACTATATTTTGTTTTTACAGTAAATAGAAAATAGATCCTAGTAATAAAACTGACTAGTTATTAGAACCAAAGACATATTTGATTGGAAAGTACATGGACCAAGAGCCACCTGTAACTGAACAATGGGCAACCTTTTTCATCTTGGTTTTAAGTGTGACCGCATTAGTGTCGCATTGTATTTTTTCCTGTTATGGATGTGTCAAACGGTCCAAGCAGATGGAACAGTGGGAGGTCTAAAAAAACAGGAACCGTCGTTAATGGGGTAGCCAGTATAAATGACGGGCGAATAATAGAAACCGACCAGTTAAATATGTCCAACTACCAAAAGATGAAAATTACAGCTTGGCAAGAAATAAATTTAGGAGACTGTTGGAATATATCAAATAAAGAAGTGACCTTTAAAAATGCAGGATTGTTTTACAGCCCTGTATTTGGATATTCTA